AAAAAAAAAAGAGAGAGATGTAGTTATGAGATGGACATTTCGTTCTTTTCTACTCCTGCCGGTTGTCAATCGCTATTTATTTTTCGGATCTGGGCTTGAGATTCATTCTTCTTGAAATAATCTTTTTTTCTCACCTTCGGTTTCTTGAGCCTAAGATCATTGTTGAATTCCATATTTCTCAGTTTTTCTTTCAAAGCATGAATCTCAGCTTGATATGCCTTTTCCTTTTCTCCCCATACTAATCTTTCTTGGATTTTGTCATCAAAGGCTTGAACATGAGGTCTTTTGGCGGGTCTCTCAGATTCGGGTTCTGGCTCGGTGTTCACACAGGACCTCTTCTCAAACCAAGCAGCATAGTTTGGATCCACTTCTCCTTTTGCGATATCCGGTACCTGGGTGCCATTTTTTAGATACCGGCAGCTGTTCCAATCCCGCTGAACTAAAGCCTCGGGCAATGCAGCTTCCGGATGCAGCTCTATGACTTGAGTACTTAGATCTTCGTCTTCGGGCACAATCTGATACCGTCCTAATTGTCTCAAGACCCTCTGCGGGGCGTATGGCTGAATACTCCTTACACCCATTATCCTCAGGTAGCCTTTGTTTGCAGTCATGTATATAGCCTCCGTCTTTGGGAGCCATCCTATGGACCACTCAATTTGACTTGCTTTGAGAGCTTTCAAATGAGACACCCATGCTTCAAACCCTTCCGGCACATTGTAATCCTTGACCCTCTCTTCATAACGAGTGATGAAGTTATTTAGGCTCGAGCCATAACTCATGAATCTGGGATAGTGGCGAAGATGCTCGATCATCCACATTTGTAGGAGGATATTGCAACCTTCGAAGAACTGGGCCCCGGCTTTGCACAAAGTCAATGCACGATAAATATCCTCCAATATCAACGGGCAAGTGTATGATCTTTCATAGTAGTGAGGATTTGTGCAATTCTAGCCATACGTATATCCACTGTCCCCTTCTCATTTGGAAAAACCATTATCCCCAAAAACGCCACGATAAATGCAAATCGGCGATGAAGTTGCCAAAGACCCTTATCTTGTTTGTTGCACAACCCCTTTTCATGTGCCTCAAAACCAGAAGAGTGCCCAAACCTGAAGTACAAAAAGTGGAAAGCACAACACCCTTCGCTTACACGGTTCTTGCTTGTCTGTTTACTGATTTTCAAGAGGTCAAAAAACTTGTGCACTGACGGAGCCCTTGGAAATATAAGCTGTTGCTTCCTCAAATCTCGTCCAAACTCAATGTACCCGGCTATCTCCTCCAAAGTAGGGGTAATCTCAAAGTCTGAGAAGCGAAAAACATTACGAGCAGGGTCCCAGAAAGTTATCATAGCCTTGATCAGATCGTCCCGTGGTTTGATCCCCCAAATGTCAATAAGAGTGCCCAGTTGTTGTCTTACCCATTTCTGGCCATCTTGATCCAAATCATTCCACCACATGCGCAAATGTACTCGAGCCTGCTCCCTGATCACTTCTGGCGGATCCTGGATAGTATTCATTTGTTCCTGTAGAAAGGTAGGGTTAGGGTTGACTCTAATGGACCTTTTTTGAAAGCAGTTTCTAGTTTTAAAACAAAAGACCAAGATCCCTTCCTTGATATGCCAATTTTAGCCAAAAGGCTAGCTTTGCAAATATGGCCCATTCCCAATTCCACATGAATTTTGAGGCCGGGGGAGGCTTATTTTGTGACACTTCTCAACTTTGCCCATCCGATTACGAGGATAGCCCTTCGACAACGGAAGAATATTCTAAGGCTATCTCGGAAAGAATGGTTTAAAACACTACCGACACTGAATCGGCTTATTTTG